ATTTTGTCCCCAGATGATGGCACTGTTTTGGGAGGTTTTAGAAGGTGTGGACATCCTGGAGGAAGCACGTCACCTGGGGTGGGCTTAGAGAGTTCTTCAACCTTGACAGATCTCCAGTTGCTCTCTTGCTTCCTGTGCCTGTGTTGATGATGTGAGAGCTTAGCTTCTGCTGCTCCTGCTCCAGAGACCTCTAGCCACCATGCCTCCCTTCCATGATGGACTGTGATTCCCCTGGAACCATAAGCTCAAATAAACACTTCCTTCTATGAAAAAAAAAAAAAAAAAAAAAAAAAAGAAGAAGAATCTGTAGTCGCTCAATCCATGAGGCTGGTTGTCTCAGTAGTCCCGATCTGGCACTAAGGTCTGATGAATTCCAAAGGATCAGCTAGTCTTCAGTCTACAGCAGCAAGATGAACTCACCAGTGAGAGAGAAGGCAAGCAGCAAGAAGCCAGGCGATCTCCCCTACTGTGGGCTTTTATAGGGGCTGCCATCAGAAGGTAACACCCACATTTAGGGCATGTCTTCTAGCTCCAATGATCCAATTAAGATGATCTTTCTCATTTCAGTTAATCCCAGATGCAGTCAAGTTGACACCCAGGATTAGCCATCACATATATACTATCTATATCTACACGAATTTCAATTTGAAAACAGGGCATTTCATCATATTATACTGAATAATTAGGAAAATGCATATATATTGTTACAAATGTGAAAACAATCTTTTAAATATGAAAACTAATTGAACAAGGTAGGGGTTCTGGGTAAGCATTTATAACTTAATTTAACCCAAAATTTGGATCATTTTATCATTTAGAAATATACTAAGTGAAATATTAGATATCAGAAACTATTAAAAATAGCTAAGCATTAAAGAGTTTAAGGAAAAAAGAAATGAGAAAAATGCTGTTACTTGGGGATACATGATTGTCAAGTAATTGAAGTGAAGATGAGTCTCATCCAGCATCTATGAAGTCCACATGGATGAACTCTTAGATGAAGTTAGCACATGAGACTCTTAAAGTTCATCTCCTTGAATTTTGTAGTACAGGAGTAGGTTAGAAGTACCCAGGTACAGTAAATGTAATGATTAGAGCAACTCCATTTTGGACAAAGTAGCCACCTTAGACTTTAAAAATCAGAGAAGCAGCCAGCTCAAGGTCTGAACATAGTTCCAGTAAATCACTCCCCCACACCCAGAAGTTTGTTTTCCTTTTAGAAATAGCTGACCACAGAAAGGAATATCGCCACCCAGACATTGAAGCCCTGCTTTTGCCCACCCAAGGGAAAACAACCTAAACAATATCCTGTCTTTCTTGGTAATATGCTGAAATAATAATAATCAGAAAGCCCCTTACTGTCCAGGTCTCTATACATATGTTAAGAAATGACTAACAATTACTTGTTTTGGCCTCCATAAAGTTGCTGATTGCTGTAATTAAGGGTCGGTGTGACCCTACTGTCCTTGTGGTTTCTGCCTTTAAAAAAGATTCCCTTCCCCTCCAGCTGCAAGGTAGTCCCTTATCTGGACTCTGGAGACTTTCAGTCTTGCTGCGACAATGAAACTTGGCTAATTAAAATCTGAATTGGGTCTGGATGTCTTTTCCTTAGTGGTCTCCAAATCTGTAATACTTTGCACACCAGTTCAATGGAGCATTTGATGTGAAGGTTCTTTTCTCAGTTGAAGAAATCCTCTGATTTATCTTTCAAGGAAGATTATATAACTAATTTTAAATTTTTGTAATCATATTTCAACTACGCCTGGCCAAAGTCCTTGTTTTTCATTTAAGTCCTTGTTTTTCATTTAAGAAAACTTTTTTGTTGTTGTGAGTAATACTAAAGCGTTAATTTTAACTCAGGATATTGAATTTTGCTCTTAAACTTTTAATAATCTTTATATTATGATCAACTTAGTCATAATTCTACTTTCATTAAGTTTAATCTTATTTTTTTCTACAATACACTAATTTTCTAACATTACTTTTATCCATTTCTATTTGGAGCTGTAGGAATCCAAAAGTTTTTTTTTGTTGTTTTGTTTTGTTTTTTAATTTTTAACCTTCCTTTGCCAAAGAAACAGCAGCAATAACAAACTCTCATATCTATAACATTTTGATGTCTATTTTCTTTACCTTGATTGTTGTTTTTATACCTACATATAATTTTAGAAAACATTTAAATAAGATTATTTTAAATGAAAGTCCAGGAGGCTATATCCAAAATATATAAAACATATATGGCTCCTTAAATATCTAACAGTAATAAAAACAGGAAAAAAAACGTAAATTGTATGGTTCTTCAACCAATGAGGATAGCCAAAGTTTCTTTGGCAACAGGGATTAAAGGTGGTCATGTTAACAGTATGTGTGTGCTCCTTTACTCTCAGGGTGAGAAAATAAAAAGAAACTAGGCGCCATGAGTGCTCAGGGGCCCGCAGCCCACTTGTTAAAACTTAACAAAAACCAGAACCAGCCTTATCAAAAGGCTGCAGGACAGGCAGGCTCCGGTCAAGCTTCACAGATTAAGCCATAAACAAGTTTTACAGACAGAACTCCTGACCACCCTGGGGGCCCGATACCAGGAAATCTTTAGAAAACATCTGTGCTTCTGAGGCCACCTCCCATTTAACAATCTACTTCATGGATTGATGCTCTAATTAGTATTATTGCTTCTAATTAGTATTATTATTATTCCTCCTAAAACCCACTTTTCCATGCATTAAAACATTTGTTCTAGAGTGATGACACAGCTGTTAAAGGCTAAAGATAACAATCAAAGGGACCAAGAAAAAAACCCTTGTTCCCATTTTCACATATTATTTATCTAATTAGTAAATTTGCTGATTTGAGACGTTTCCTCCTGTAGTCCTGCTGCCTTGAACTGATCATTTCCTGAGTGCTGGCAAGACAGGCATGTTCCACCAATCCCAGATTTGGCTTG